AGTATGCAATGGATAAGGCAATGGCTGCGGGCAATGCCATTTCTAAAGCCCACAACTGTGTGTGTGTGTGTGGGGGTATAACGAGGTCAGTGCTTTGGTACAAAAGTTGTCAACTTGAAAATTACACGTAGTGCAAATCAGTAAAAATACACACTCGCTCGCACACACACACCCACACACACACACACTCGCTCGCTCGCACACACAGACCCATTTTAATGGTGTGCGCATGTTGTGTATGTCTTTGGTTGCAGCTCGCCCAACTGTTGCCCTCTATTTGAGTTTATCAGCGTGTAAAATGCGCAATTCAAATGCAAATGTGCAGTGTAATTAAAATTGTGCAAATGCATGCTGCGTTTTTTCCCATTGACTTTTGTGCCCTTTTTTTAGCTGCCACAATTGCTCAGCCAATTTAAGAATATATATACCATTTAAAAATGTATGTATTATATTAGGCAATTACCTAAATTATATTCTTATACCCTCTGCGGAAATCGTTTTAATGCAATGCATTTTTTACCATTTACTGTCGGCCAGTTAATATATACAAGTCTAAAATGTCTATATATTTACAAAAGTAAATCTCAATAGGGCTATTCTAAACTATAATTTATAATTTATAGCAAGCATATTAGAGCCCTAAATGCTTATATATCTAAAAATGTGAATATCTCTTATTAGATAGAAAGAATAGTTAAAAAAATTAGAGCGAATACATTCCATTAAAAATAATACATCATATATGTTCTTTATTGCTTAGGAGAATCTTTTCAATTTAAACAAACATATAAGTGATATCAAATCAAGCAAACTGGCCAGACCTCTCCCTGAAGTTTTACTACTGCGGTAATGTAATCTAGGACATGCCTTTCACTTTTACTTAAACATTGGCTTCTATGTTCACCCCACCTGTCGTGTTAAGGCCAAAATTGATGGCCCATTCTTGGCTAACTAATAAAACATATATATAAAGAAAAAAGTATATTAATTGAAATATAATACTCAAAATATTGAAGTGCTTTAGTCCTTATAATTTTTTCAATGTATTCTGTTTAGAGAGAACCTTAGCTCTGAGTTACTTTCCTATTAAAAAGCTTTTCTGAATGCGCTTGGTTATTCTTAATGTCTCCCATTTAATTGTAATATTTCAATTAATTATAATATAATAATTAGCTTCTAGCAATAAAAATATGCGTATTAAAACTAAATAAAATATAATATTATATTTTATTTTGTGACAGTACGAATTCAAAAATGTTTTAGCTTTTTGTAATTTATTTCTAAATCTAGCTTACGCTTTGTTCAACTATAAGCCAAAATTTGAACTGTCTCTCATAGAGAACTCTATCAATTTTAATAACATACATTTTAATTATCTTTCTAAAATGAATTGCGTTTTGAAAATGCCACAGATATCAAACAGTCAAGCTCCGGCGTATAGTTGATGATAATTTGATTGCTTTTTGAAATTTTGTACAATTCACTTGGCTCATAATTCGGGCCAACAATATTTTCGGTGGGCTTTGAAATGGACAACGCATGTTGCACACGAGGCTGCCACTTGCCACAAATAAAGTCGTAGATATTTTTTGAAATAAAGCTGCCGTTATCACAAATTGACAGCAAAAGCATTGTGCGCCTATGTGGCAATGTGGCAGCATTATGGGGCAACACTTTGGGGCAGCTGTGCATAGCAAATGGTTGCGTTTCGGCTTTCGCCATAGACCATGGACCATGGGCAATGGGCTATGGCTTCATGCGGTCACTCAACCAGGCTGAACACTTTGCCTCGCTTCCGTTTTCGCACGCACACACACGCACACACACACATACGTACACAGATAGAACGGGTGGCACACACATTGTTAAGTGCTTTGTGGTTGCTGGCAGCGCGTTGATTGCGCTGTGGTCCAAAAATCTAATAAAGCGCCAGCATATGAAATGGGCCATAGTTTTCTTCTTCCCTTTATTTATATTATTATTTTTTTTTTTTTTTGTGGAAACGGTTGGTACATGTCGATTTATGCTTTATTAAATCATATTAACAGTCAATCGGCTGCAACGAAATGTTAATTTCCGGGCATTTCGCTCTGTTTTAAATGTCGAGTTGGTTTTTAAAATTTGAAAAAAAGAAGAAAATCATTTTGAATAAAATTTGCTAAATACTAGACAAAGCTAAACAATAAAAATTCTAAAAAATACGCAACTGAACCGAATCCGATACAATGGATGGAAGTGGCGATAATCAGCTGACGGTCCGCTACAATCGACGACCGGTCAATCGTAGGGTGCAAATAATACTCCAGGACTATCAGCGCTGGGAGCAACCGGCGGCGGCCTTTGCCAATCCAAATGTCACCCTGCATGGCCATGCGAATGGCATTGCCCTGATGAACCAGGAATTTGTAATGCCCATGCGTATGGAAACGGAGGCCGATGATTCGGGCTTTGAGTCGGGCAGCGAGAGCGATTTGTTATAGCCCAGCTATGGGGAATATGTGGTAGCCAGTCCAGTTGCATGCATAATAAATTCTATGAAACCGTGCCAGCGACTTACCTTAATTCCAAAAAGACGAGAGCTTAACTAAAATGATTATAGACCCATTTATCATAATTTGGTTTATTCATGTCAATTTGATTTGTTTCTCGGAACACAAAATCCGTTTTACACATACATATATAATACGCAACTTGCGTGTAATGGTCTGTTTGTCTGTTTGTATGTGTGTGTGTTCGCGTGTGTGTGTGTGTAAGTCCTGTAAATATGTTTGTAAATAGATTAGTTAAGAGATTTTGCAGTTACATTTATTTTACACATACAATATTTGATATATTCGCAAATATTTACTTTGTATACATTTTAAATACGGATTACGAGTACACGATTTCAATTTGTAGTTCCTTCTCTCTATTTGTTTTTACTTCGTTTTTTTTTTAAGATTTTTGTATTTGGTTTTTTCAGTACATTTATGTTGATTTTTATAAATATACATGTTTCCGTTGTTTTGATTTATATATTCCATGCATTTAGTTTCGAAATAAGTTCAAAGTTTCTCTCGTCACGTTCGTTTAGTATGCAGCATATATATAAAAATTGAGTTCCTATTCACTTTACGTTTTTTTCTTTTTATCTAATATCCATAATTGTGCCTACTTTAAAGTGAGTTAATTATCACGCCTAAAATAAAGTTTCAATTTCTCAATAAAATGAACAACGGGTTTTATGGGTTCTTTCGCTCGAAGTACAGCTTTTTATGAAAGTGAATGTTGAACTAATGGACTAAATAGTTGTTTTTTGATGACTAAACGTTAATTTGATATCATAAAAGTTTTTATTACTACAAGATATGGTGTCTTTCTTAGCCACTGTGGCTTCTAAAAACGATATACTTATATATATATATCATCCATATATAATATTCTAAAATATTAGTTTTCTTTTTTTAATTGTTACGTATTTATCATAATATCTTCAAGTAGTGATAAAATTATAAATAAGTTCTAATTAAACAATAAAAAGTTGAATTAAAATAACATGAATCAATATTATCTTAAACTAGCTGCAACTGATTATACAGATACATAATTCATTATTTGTCATTGTTCAGTTTTTACGTTATGGATATAGTTGCTTAAAATACGCTTCATTTGGTATATATTTTCGTATATAAATATATCGTAAATTAGTATGAAATTATGTAAGAGTGTTAGAGTCGAGAGGGCTCGACTAGAATATACCCCGTACCCAGTGCGGCAATGTACCTAATGGCTTTCTGAAGTATATACAAACTTACCATGAACTTAATTTGATGAGGTGCTCAAAACTATCGATAGGAGTGTCGATACTACCTATAGCTTTGCCCACTATTGATTATAATTATAATGCTTTGCCATCAACTGTTTAATGAATAATGAGATACCCTGGGTTTCTCAAAAATATCGATAAGATCCATAATATCGATCATCGATAACACAAACTATCGATTCTATGCACTGTCGATAAGTTTACATTAGTCTCTAGATCTTGCTTTTATAAAAACGGACCCACAGACAGATAGATAAATATGGTTACAATGATTCGAATGTTGATTTTAGTCAAGAAAAAACTTTTGTAGATTCTAGAAATTAACTTTATAAAAAATAAAAACATTTTATACCCCATAACTGGATACAGAGTATGACACGTACCTAAACACTAATCAGATATACGTACTTATGATATTGTAAATATTTATAGATTAGTATTTGTATATATAGGTATGTTTCTGCAGTATGTATGTGTATATGTAGGTATTTAATGTTGCACAGTGTGAGTGTGTGTGTGTGGGCTTTAAGTACATCTATAAATTCTTTAAAATTTCTATTGGTGTATACATTTATTTAAATTTGATTATGAGACTGGGAGGAGGGTTGAATGGCGGGGTGGGGGTGGGTAGGTTTGTTGGCTTTTTAACTACGTTTTGTTGTTGTATGTAAAATGCATAAACATTCAGCTTATAAACTAGACTTTGCTCTCAGCAATTTGATCTGTTCCACCTAACGCACATATACATATCAGCTATAAGTAAGCGAGTAACTTTATATGCATATGTGTGTTGTAGTTGTCGTTGTTGTTCTTCTTGTTGCTGTTGATAGGTTTTGTATTTGATTTAGTGAGTGTGCAATGCACTCATGATAGGGAGGGCTTTACATTGAAATCCATAAATTGTATATAGCTACTGCTGAGTTAGTTCAAAGACTGAGTTAGAGTTGAGTATGCGACTATGTGTGCGTGTGTGTGTGTTTGATAGAGAGTGTGTGTAACTGTTTAATTAGTTTTATGTGAGTTTTTGGCTGCTGCAGTTGAAATTTTAAAAATTGCCCACGTTTAATTCCAATCCAATTAAAATTCAATTAATGCGCATTAATTTGTTTTTACCTTGTTTTTGTTTCTCCAATTTGTTCAATATATGTATGCGTGTATTCGATTATATTTTGTTTTTTTTTGCTTATTTTTTTTATTTGTATTGAACTTCTGTCTCTTGGCAGATTTTACAACTTACAGCACATACCCGTAACCTCAGTAACCAGTCGCATCGAACAGATCGGGCAGGACGAGCGGCGGGCAGTTGTGGGGACTGCATGTGACGCTGGGCAGCTCATCAGGTGTTACCGCATCCGTGCAAATGCACTGCAAACAGTTGCCGGTGTCCTGTGGCAGAATTTCACCAATTTTATACAATTTGCCTGCGACAAAAATCAATAGAGGGTAGACAGAGATGAAGTGTGCATTGTTGTTGCAGTTGCAGTTGCTGCAGCTATTCGTCTTGTTGTTGTATTTGTCAACTTACCAAGCACATTGCACATACGCCCCGTTGCCATAGGCGTTGTTGTTATAATCGTTGTCAGCGTGTAGGGCGGCACACTATACTGATTGCTGCTGCTGCTGATGGCCACACGCGGCGTTGTTGTTGTTGTGACTGTTGCTGCTGGTTGCATTGTTGTTTGTTGTCTCGCAGCAGCAGCTCCCACGTCTGACGTTTGGTTGTCTTTTGCAATTAAATCCGTTTGCGCACTGGCATCAGCTTTGGGCAACTGCTGCTGCTGCTGCTGCTGTTGTTGATGTTGCTGATGTGGGTGCACATCGACAGCAGTTAGTGTAATGTCAATATTGACTACGCTGCCATTGAATTCGCTGCTGTAATCATTGTAGGAGCTACGAAAGAACACAGCATCCGCATTGTCAGCTATGTTGTTGCCGTGCCTGTTGCCATTGTCTTTTCTGCTGCTGCTGCTGGTGTTGTTGTTGCCTTTGTTAATGCCAACATCATCGATTATTGTTGATGCTGGCGTTTCCTGCTCGACAGCAACTGCTGCTGCTGCTGCCGCTGCCGCAGCTGCTGCCAAGTTATCGTCAAGCGTGTTTGTGCTGTCAACATTCAGTTCCGTCGATGTCAGCCAGCGATGAAATGCATCGTCAGCTTCCTCAATTTCCTTATCCTGTTGCAGCTATACACAACAGTCAAATTGGATTATTATAATAAACGTAAAATATAAAAGCAATTTAATGGACTCACACACACCCAAGCCCTAGCCCAGTACCCAGTCCCAGCCTAATGGCTACTAAATATTCTTCATCAACTTTTAATTCTGCTTCTGAGTTTGCTTTGGGGTCATCTTCATGAACATTAAACTCAAATAAATAATAAAACAGCTCAGGCATAAAATATTCTTAAGCAAAATGCTGTACGAACTACAGATTGCAGCGCATGTCTATTAAGTGTACGATCCTTAAAAACATAATTGGCTGCACTTTGGCAGCAGCTCGTGGCCATCCGCACTCTCGGGTCACTGACTGCAACAGCAACCACTGTCATTTGCTGTGGCTTGCGGAGTTTTATTCACACCCTTGCCGAGGGTATTTAGGCTAAGTTGCCTTGACTGTGCCGCTCTTAAGGAAACTTCCTTGAGCTCTTGGGAATATATATTATATATATATGTATATATGTACTTATATTCTTGATCAGGTCACCAGCCTCCTGATCATTTTAAACCCTTGAAGCTATAAGATAATGTGAACAGACAATGTTATCTTACATGTAAGATATCGTATCGTAATGTATGTATAACAGAAAATACTTCGCTTAATGCTGACTCATCAAAAATATAAAAAAAATTAAATTCTCACTTAGATTTTTCTTTCGGCAAAACATTACATAACTATTATTATAATATATCTATTTCTGTGGCTATCGATTATAAATTGACTTGTTAACTGAACAATTTGTTTGCTTTTCAAAGCCATCTGGACAACATCTTGTTATATGGCAGCCATATCTTTAATCTAGCGACTGTCTGCAGAGTATTCAATCACTGCCAGCCCGAAGCTAACACTTATTTCTTCTATTTTATTTTATTTGCACTCACATTTGTATTTGCTATGGCAACCGTTGTGGCTGCTGGTTGGCTGCGCGGCGTTGTCATCATTTCGATTGTTGTTGCTGCTGCTGCTGCCATTGTTGTCGCATGGACCATGCTGCTGCTGCTGTCGCTGTTGTTGCTGCTGTAACTGCTGCTGGTGGCTGTCAATGTTGTTGCTGGTCGCTTGGTTGGTGGCTCGGGCAAAATATCGCTGTCTGTTTCCGCCTCATCAAAGTTTTTATCAGTGCCCAAGTCTGTGCCGAGTTCAACAATTGCGTTCGTCTTTTGCAGTATCTTCTGATGTTGCTGGCGCAGCTGCTCTTGCTGCTGCTGTTGCTGCTGTTGTTGTTGCAGCCGTTGCTTTTCGTGCAACAAATGCTGCTGATGATGCTGATGCTGATGATGCTCATGCTCCTCCGTTTTGTAGTCGTAATAAAGCAGGGCCGGCAAATTTTCGGGAAAATTTAAAATTTTGCTGGACGAGTGAGGCTGATGGGCGTGCAAATGTTGCTGCTGCTGCTGTTGGTGTTGGTGTTGCTGCTGTGGCTGCTGCTCCTGTTGCTGCTGCTGCTGAGGCGGCGCCAATTGTTGTTGATAATGCGTTTCCTTTGCTGCTTGATTAACAGAAGCTGCTGCCATATGGAGTGGCTGCTGCTGCTGTTGAGGGGGCATCTTATGTTGCTGTTGCTGCTGCTGTTGCTGTTGCTGGAGCGTTGCCGTTGCCAACTTTTGCTGCGGCTCATGTTTGTGTTGCTTGATTATATTGTAGTTGCTGTGGTTGGCAACGCTGTCGTTCTTTTGTTTTTGTTGCTTTATGTCTGGCTTTTCATAATCCGGCGCCTGCTTGCGGCTGTGGTAAACTTCGTAGTCATTAAAATTCTTTTGATTCTTGTGATGCTTGTGCCGCTTGCCAGCTTTCCTCTCCGTTTTGTGCAGTTTTGTTGATTTTCTCGTTGTGGTCTCGTACCGATACGGATCCGAATAGTCACCGCCACCATTCGCTGCAGCTGCCGTTGCCGTTGCCTCTGTCTCTGTCTCTGCCTCAACCTCTGCCGCTGCAGGTGCTGTCGCTACTTTATTTACATTCGCCTTATCTGCGCAGAAAGCGAAAAGTTTCATCTACATTTTGTGTATTAAGCCACATAAAACTCGATTCAAACTAACCGCATTTCTCCCACCAGCAGAATATTTCGCCGTCCATGCAAAGGCAAACCTCGCAGGGATCCAAACGCGGCACCTGCCACAAAGCAAAACATAGAAAAATGGGCAAAAACAAGGGTTTAACAAATCTCTAAAATATATATATATGTATATACATTTATCAACCGAAAACAATATTGAACATGGTGTGTGATGTCACGTTGTTTGTCGTCAGCAAACAAGACCAAAATCTGTAAAATGAATATTTTGGTTTGGCCCTAACGAAATATGTGTAGTGCAACTGCATTTTAAGCTAAGGGTAAAAGCTACCTATAAATTTCAATCAAAAACGCATTTGGAGCCCATTTAAATTTCCTAAAACTCCGAAATATATTTTGGGATATATGTACAACAAAAGAGCAAGATTGATAAAAAAAACATGTTTACAATATAAATATAAATATATATTTGTCGAATCGCAGAAAATTCGTTGAATTCTGCAATTATTTTCTGACAGTTGAATAACAATTTCTGTAAAGAAAATTACATTTTATAATTATCTTTTTTAATTGGAAAATTTTCTGCGAAAAATTGAACATGCTTACAGCTTTAATTATTGCGTAAACAAATTCTAAGAAAAATTATTTGTACGCTGAAATAATTGCCATAAAATATATTACATAACGAGTTAACTGACTTTGATGCTGATATCAAAGAAACATTCTCTTTGTGTGTTGACAAATGGCATTTTCCTATTAAGGGCTTAGAACGATTTGAAGAAAATATACCAAATTCTATAAAATATATGGGTTTTATATAATAGTCTCACTTTGTAAACTAGTCGAGCTTCAGTTAATACGTTCGTATATTAAACGCTGTAGCTGTACAATATCCCTTTTATGTTAGCATATGCATGTGCTATAAATCCTTATCCGACATTTAGCAAACCTCTAACTGTATTTTCATTGCCAAATCAACATTTATCAAAGTCCTAACTGTAAAATCAAGGTCTGAATAAGTCATTTGATGTTGTAGCTGACAGCAAGAAAGCCGTTTAAGGCACACGGTGCAACCGCATATGAATATTCCTCACAGGTAACAGCGAATAACATGGCGAAAAGCACAGGTGTAGCAAATGTATAAAACACGGTTGGCTTTCTATATATCTGTGGATGTGTGTGTGTTGCGCTTACCTTTTGGCCGTGTGTGTACTTGTGGCCATTTGTGAAACATGCCGCTGCCCTACTGTGTGGCTCCAAGTCGTCCGCAGCCTCAGCTGCAGAACTGGAGCCAGCGGCAGCTGCCGTCGAGTCGGTGTTGGAGTTGGCATTGAAATTGTTGTTGTTGTTGTTGTCGTTGTTGGTGTTAGAACTGGAGATAATGCCGGATTCAATGTCTGCTCTCTGCTGAAGCTCAGCGTCGCTTAGCATTTGCTCGGACAGCAGGCGTGCATCGTATTTGGCCTGGGACTGTGCCTCGTCCAGGTCGTAGTTGAAGTCATCCACGTGCTCGTCTAAATACTCGAAAGGCAAAGCTGTGGTAGGGCCAGGTCGCAGGTAAAATGTGGGGGGTGGCCAAGCAGAAAGAGAAAATAAAGTAAAAAGGTGCCATAAGCCGCTGTTGAATTGGCTATTCGACTCTGATGTTTGTAGATGTTGTTGTTGTTGTTGTTGTTTCTGTTGCTGTTACTTTAAGGTTATTTAAAGCTTCGCTAGCTGGTCTAAAACCGTTTTGTGGGCCATCATGGAGGCTAAGCTGCAATCAGCAGCCTGTCGCCACCTTTCGAAAAGGTCATAAACTGCCGACAGCCAACTGCTTACTCACATTTTTTTCGTTCTGTTTTTTATGCTGCTCACATATTTGATAAATTATCATAAAAAATAATGAAAAGCATAACATTTGTGAGCACTTGGAAATAAATCAAAAGCTCGCATAAAACACAAATTCACACACACACACACACACACTGAAACAGGAAGAGATTTGTGGTTGTTTGTGTGTGTTTTATGGCATTTGTCATTAAATCAAAAGGCTGCGCTCATAATGACATCAAATGAAAACTTGAGAGCCGAAGCAAATCACAAATTGAAAATGTAAAGCAAAATTGAAGCGTGAGCTCATAAAATGTGCATAATTTATTTGACACAGATTTTATGCACTATACTATATTGCAATATGCGTCGAGTACGACTTTGTATTTTTGCAAAAATTTAAATGTTTACTCGATTCAATTTTTATTATTGAGAAATGAATTCATTTAATTACTGAAAAGTTGCAAACCCTATTTAAGATTTCTGGTAGTTTAAATCTACCTCTAAACAAATATTTCTTTGTTTGGAATAAGCCAAAAACATTTCAACCATATTGGTTTACTCTGTGTGGATTGTCTGTGTTCTGAAATAATATATCGAAAATCTCAAGGAATATTTCAATTTAACTGATGTCATTAATTTCTATTTCTCAATTGAATTCCGTCCAAGATTTCGTACAGCGTTAACTGTAAGCGGACTGTATAATGTATTACATTTAGCTGGCAGCTAACATCCGGGCACTTCTTGAGACTCACCCTCGGCCAGGTGCTGTTCGAGACGCAGTAATCCAAAAATGCTGCAGCTGTGGCAGAGCAGCAAACAGAGCCACAAGCAATTGATGCTTGTCATGCTGGTGCCTCGGCTGGTGCCTGCTCTGCTAATAATCCTTGGCATGCTGTTTTCGTTTCCGTTTCCGTTGCCGTTGCCGTTGTTTGTGGATTTCGTGCACTTAGTGGCACATTCTATGGCGCTTGGCTCACAAAATAAACACGCAACCTTCGCACAATAAACGTCAACAAAAACAACGACACAGTTCACAGTTTTTTCGTTGTTTATTTGCGACTTCTTTTTTATTTATTTATTTTTGCGCTGTAGTTTGTTTTTACACAAGTGTTGCAGTTAGTTGTCTGCTGCGGGGGCTTTTTCTTGTTATTTTTATCAAATGAACACGCGGCACACTTCACACGGCGCAGTGCAACTTAAGCAGGCGGATGCCCTCAAAAGTAGGCAACATTTTTTATTCTTCTCTTGCGCAACGCCCATTTATAACTGTCTGCCTTTATTTTAATCATCTATTACCATTCCCATTGCTTATATTCAATTCATTTGCCAAGTTGGTAATCGCACAACTGTGATTTGCCCTTGCTACGTGCCAGCCAGACCCCTACAAGCTGCAACCCCATCCAATCAGACAAGCAGCTAACCAACAAGTGTTTCTTCACTTTTGCGCTACGTGCCTTATGCAACCCAGGCAAAAGTTGGCCAACAGGCGAGAGGCTACAGAGCGCCAGCCCAGCTGCGCGTGAAGTAAACAATTTGAAATCAAATAAACGCCATTAACTAATCAAAAGAAATTGCTGATGGGTTATTTATGCTGCCCTCGGGTAGATAAATACATTGTTCAAATAAAAAAGCTCATTAAAATTTGAAAACATCTTGCAAAAAGGATTATAAGTTATCAAGCTGCAGAGGTAGCCAGCTTAAGTACCTTAAATATATGAGCTTTCTAAATATAATTTAAAAAAATGATAATTGTAATATTTGCACAAATACCAATAGTACAAATACTAAGAAAAATAATACTAATATTTAAAGCCCTTAATTAATTACGCCTGCATCCCTCTTGATCATATATAATGTTGTTTAGCCCTTGAGTATCCCTTATGGATATGGATACTTATCCCATCAATTGCGAAGTAAGATCAAGTATTATGCTGTTTTACTCTTGAGTATGCCTAATTAATCAGTTTGTGTATCAATTCTGTATTATACTTCTAAAGAAAATGATAAACTAGTTTCTGAAAAGGCACAAGTCCCTTTAGCCTATGATATAATATATTGTTACCCTGAGTAAACATCTGCATTAACAAAAAAAGGCGACTTTCGAGCTTGAATATCAAATTGTAAATATTTTTCAATAATTATAATATTCAATCCCCTAATCGCAGCTCATACACCAACATTTTCAATACTCAGTTAAAGCCCTTTTTAAGCCAATTCACACATCTATGATATTTACAGCATCCAAGAAACCTATCTGCAGAACAAAATGAAGTCTCTTCTCTAATAAATATTTATGACCTCTCCCTCTTGCTTTTACCCGATGGCCAAAGCTAACAAGGAACGAGCATTGAAAGGATTGCCAGAGCAGCGAGCCGCTAATGCAGAGCTCAAATTCGCATAAAGTGTTTATCGGCAAACAATGCTAAGGTAAATGCACTGTCAGAGTGCTTAATTTATGGCATAAAAGGATGGAGAGATGGGCTGGATGGCGGAAGGGGGATGGGGGAAGCAAGAGCATAGAACTGAGTAAAACAAAACACTTGAGCTAAACAATTCGCTCGAGGCGAATGCGGAAGTGAAATGCCAAAAGCGAAAAGTGGCAGAAAGAAAAAAGAAGGCAGGAAATCAGAATGTGGAACGTGAAGTGCGAGGCGATGTCAGACGTGAGAGATAAAACGGAAATTCATTGCCAGACGTTTGAAGTGTGAGAAATTAGCACAATGCACAGACACACACACACACAGTCAGAGGCACACAATCACAACACACACGCACAGTGCTTTGGATAACTTTTAGTGCCACTGCAAAATCCATGTCTGTCCGCTGGGGCGTATGCGCAATATTTGATTTACGTTTAATTTGTAACAACTTCCGCTGCACATGTTCAGCCACTGATTAAATTCCAATTTTAATTCATATGCACACATGCACAAGCTCACACACCCACATAAAGTATGTTTTTTAATTTGTTTGCATTCAATTAAAACGCTTTGATAATTACATAATTAAATTAATTGTTAATCAAATGCAGGCCATGCAAATTATGCCCTGTGATATTCAAATTTGTCTCTCTGACACTGACACTGGCGCGCTGTCTGACGCCTGACAAATTGCCTGACTTGTCACACACGGCGGGTACGTAATATTTGCTAAACGCGTCGTTAAGGCTCAACGCAGCGTCGCCCACTGTTGCCGCCAGATGCTGTGCACTGCCTATTTAAGCAACAGCAACAGCAGACAGCATCCAACAACTCAATCTGCAGGCTCTCTCTCTCTCTCTTTCTGTTACGCTCTCTCACTCTCACTTTTGCGCTCTGCCTTACGCTTTTGCTTTTTATGAATGAGCTTGTGTGCGCTAAACACAGCTCAACTGAGCGGCTCTGTTAACAGTTCGCTCACTGTTAAAAGACTGTTAGCTGCATTCTTTTGTGCGTATGTATATGTGTGTTTTTTGGGTACGTTGACTGTAAATTACATTAAAATGATTCAGTTTTGTGCAGCCATTTGCTCGGCGCTGCCTCTTTGTGCAAATTGCATCTGGGCAGCCTTTGGGCAAGTTGTTGTAGTTGTTGCTGTTGTTGCCATCCATTAAACGTTAACACTGCAACAACAGGCGCAACTGTACGCTCACAACCATATAGGTTTCATTTTTATTTTTCTTTATTCTTTTTTATTATTTTGATTTTTTGCGCTGTGTAAAGTGTAAATATGTTAATGTCCTGACACACATAGACACACACACGCATCTTGACAGAGGCTGACTGACAGGCGATGTGAAGGCTCGCACTGAGGCTGAGGCTGACGCTTGTTAGACATGACAATGGGTGTTTATGTCAGGATAACTGTCAACAGTTGCATGTTTCGCCAACTCCTCCTGTTTTACGCCATATATGTGTGTACGCTTTCAGCTGCTAATTTCTTTTATAAATTTCATGCGCTACATTTACATAAAAATCGCATAACGCATCATTTTCACATTCCTAAAGTGTCCCGCTGTCACACGCCACTTCTCACATATATTAGCCATATGCATAAAGATAAATTCTGTTGTGCACGCAACAGTTGGCACATGTCTCATAGAAGATATACGATATGCTAAATATGATATATGGCATAGATATGTCATGAATGGCAACGCAATCGATTGGTTTCCGGCCCCAAACTCAGCCAACTAAACGGAAATCAATGTGGGCTGACATCTGAAAAATGTCAATTGCCAGCAATATTTTCACTTGGCCAACAACAACAACAACAATCATCTATGTGAAATTATGAGCCATAACAGCTTGACAGCATAGACTCTTGGTTGTTGTTGTCTTTGCTGTCGGGCATATTTGATGGGCCTAATAATTTAGCTAAGTTCAAATATGTTCGCACAATAATGTTCAAAACATAAATTTCTCAAATTTATAAAATAACAATTTACGTGCTTATTTACATACAATTAATAACAGCGTTTATTCAAAGAATGTCATTAAATTTGTTTATATATATTCGAAATAGTCTTAACTGAACAACACACTCAGTTGATGAATATAAAGATATCCTTTATATACTTACCTGTAATAATAATAATAATATATTGTTGTCTTTGCTGGCAGAATATATTTTGCAAAAAAACAAGTTCCGATTACTATTTTATAGAAATTATAATTAAAAGCATTAACTAATTAAATCAATTAAATTAATTCTTAAAGAAAGTTTCTCAAAATGTTTCAATATATTTTAAAGCGAATTCCTTTAACAGACGTATTTATAAATATATTCCTATAGTTAGAATCTTTAGTATTGGCTCAAAACATATCAATAAAAAATGTATCGATAGCAAGAATCTATATCATATATAGCTTAGCTTTAATTTTGCTTGAAATAAAAGGAAGTAATTAATGTGAATTCTTCAAACGATAACAGCTCAACTTAATCAGACAGCTCAATATTATATAGGAGGTATAAATTAATAGGTTTTATGAGCATAAATTTGCCTTGAAGAGAGCTCACAACTTTTCAAGGTTTGCATAGAGATCAGATAAACGGTAGCTGGAGAATGGAAGGGTATTTGAAAAGCAGTTATCAAAAATGTTCTCCTTATTTATATGCCATTGCGCACTTAAAGTTACGACTTGAAAGAAACTTGATAAATTTCATGAAAATGCGAAATGGCATTTGCCGTGGGGGCAGGTCTCGAAAATCAAATCACTTAAGTAATTGTTTTACAGCAACCCACGCTCCCGCTCCGGCTCCCAGCCCCTTCGGCCCAGCATCCCGTCGTCCCTCTTAAAATAAAATCTATTCATAGAATCAGGCACAGGCCGGGCTAAAATTTAATAAAACTGTCAAATGCTTTTGTTTGATTTTATTAGCCATAATACTCGGTATTTATTATATATCGCTTAAGTCCTTAAAATCCTTTTGCTCCGAAAATGTCACAAAGTTATGCCATAAATATTAATATAAATTGTTTTAAATTTTTAAGTAGCCCGAAAAGATTTATAAATTAGCCAAGGCGGCTGGCAGGCCATAAAAATGATTCATTTAATTGAACATGTGTTTCCTTTTAGCCTACGCCAAGACAAGTGTGGTGACGTGGGCAGTGTGGGGGCGTGGCAGGCCAGTGTCTTAAGTTTATGCAAATTAAACAACAATTATAAATTCTAAAGGACAGCTTTGTGTAAGAGACCCTTTGGGGGCGAGGTCAACCACAACATAGAACAAAGCTCAGGGCCTGCAAATGCAAATGCCGTATGTAAATATTTAAAATGATAAAATACAAAAGCCCTTACCCCGCTCCCAAACTCAGCCCCCTTCCTCACCGCCAAAGCATTAGTCTTTATGCAAATTGTAGAGCA